CAGGTAATTTAAAGGCTACTGGCTGTAGGAACTCCTGCAGCACCATGCTGAGGGACAATTCTAGTTATTTTCAGAGCACGCTTTAAGGCTGAAGTCAAAGCAGCAGAGATGACTTCTGACCTGGCACCAAACAGTTCTTACTTTATATTTAAAAACAAAAAGAAGTTGGAATGGCAGCTCACACCTGACATGCCTGCATGTGGGCGATTGACCAGAATAAACTAAAGGTCTAAGTTATGCTCAGCTATAACTGAGGCCAGCTGGGCTGTTTGAGACCCTCCATACATCAAAAAAGCCACAATTGAGGAGGTGGGTCAGTTGGTAGAGCACTGGCCTTGAAAGATCGAATGCCTGGGGTCCTGGGGAAAGAGCACGTGCTAAAACAAGAGATGAGGGAGGAGGCTCAACAGTCACGCTGACTGTTCTTGCAGAGGACTTGGGTTCAGTTCCCAGCGCTTACACGGAGGGAGGCTCGTGACCATTTGTAACTCTAGTTCTTGATATCTGACACCCTCTTCTGGCCTCTGCAGGAATGAGACATGCATATGGTACACATACATCATGCAGGCCCAAAAGAAAGGTACACATAAAATAAATCTTAAAAAGGCTGGGGTGGGGGGAGTATGTTTGCAACTCCAGTGCTGAGAAGAAAGGAAAGGGACAGGTGGATTCCCCCGGGGTTCACTAGCCAGGTAGACTAGACTGGTTCGTGGGTTCCAGGCAGGTGATAGGTCCTGTCTGAAGAAAAATGAGAGCTGTGGAATTATTCTCTGGTCTCTGTATGTGTATATATGGGTCTGTGTGCACATGTATGTGTCTATATGTGACCTCTATGTGTGTACATACACAGGAACACACATACATATAGGAATACACACCCACACAAACAGGAAACAAGAAAGAACATTATTTCTTTTTCTCTTCTTTTTTTTAAAAAAAAAATCTAAAAGTGTTCAATTACTTCTTAGGAACAGTGTTCCAGATATGAAATTATGACTCAGCTCTGCTTGCTGATACAGTCTAAACCAAGAACTAAACAGATTTCAGAAATGCAGCATTGCTGTGCAACCAAACACTGTTTCTCTTGCAATAATAAAAGAATAATCATCTTAACTTAGGAAAACAAAGAAAATATGGTTGCATTTTCCTGTAGCAGTCTTCGCAGGAAGTAAGATGCAGTAAACCTTATTTGGAGCCTTATCCATGAATATCCTGCTGCTTGGGTGTCAGGAGACTCTCATTGCAATTCTGTGTCCCAGGTGTAAGGCTGGCACCAAAGGAGAGAGAATCTGAGGGCCAGGAAACCTCAGAAATGTCACAAAGACCTTAGGATAAAGCAAAGCAGCAAGAAACCAAGGTTTGTCCTGAGCTCCTCATGGGGGAGTTTTCTATCTGCAAAGTAACAAGCCTTGCATCTTCCACGTGAACATGGGGGCATCGTGACTACAGACAGACAGACAGACAGACACTCAGCAAAGCAGAAAGCTAAGTCCTAAAACCCAGATCTCCTGAGCTCAGCCTTTGTTACTTGAGGGGTGAATGATTAGGTCAAGTGTCCTCAGACCTAGGGTGGAGGAGGAGGAGGGAACCATGATGGCACATTGGGAACAAACCAGGGGAGTCAAGACTGCTTTAGACTGCCCATGACGGGGCAGAAGCTCTGTGTTCCCTTCCCTAAACCCGTAAAGCTTTCATGAAATGAACACGTATGTACTGGATCTCCTGCCTCCCTGTAGACTGAGTATATTTGCCTTCTTTTTACAAGTGCTCATCTTTTATTAAAATTATATCTAAAACAACTTCTTTTCAAAGCTCCATCAAAGTACACCATCAGAAATTCCCTGAGAAAGAGGAAGGATTGTTGGCTCTTCTAGAAAACACATTGCCTTGGTGGAGGAAGGTGATGTTCCAGACCTCCCAGGGTCCCCTTGAGCTTGGTGTCTTGGCTGGTCCAGTTCAGCATGTTCTTGTCAAAGAACTCAGTAGGGAGAGGACAGTCTGGGCTCCATATTGGAACGTGTGACCACTTCCAACATTGTCACCACAGAGACTTGTGCCCAGCCTCAACACTGAACCCACACACACACACACACACACACACACACACACACACACACCAGAGCTGCCTTGGCAATGGGCCGGGAACTGTCGGGCCATTTGTCTTTCCTCTGTAGTGTGGATCTTGGATGATCGTGATGAGGAGTCTGATAGAAATCACTGTGGCCCTTAGGTCAGCCCAAAGCCAGTGTTGTCTGCCTGCTGCCCAAGTTCTCCTCAAACTGCCACTAATAAAATTGCTAACAGACCTTTCTTGTTACTAAAGCCTGGGATTTTACACCATAAGTCCAACAAAAGCAATCCTCTGTCCCAGCCAGCGACTGCTTTTTGTGTCTTCTTCATTCTTAGGAGATTGGGCTCTGCTCGCGCCTTCTAACCAATCTGCTCCTTGGCTTCTGTGACATCATCTGTGGTCACCTTCCTGTGCCATTCCTAGTTCCTTTGCCAGATCTGAAGAACTCCTCTTCTGCCCAGCATGGTGTTGCAAGCCTTTAGTTCCAGCAGTCCGGGGCAGAGGCAGGTGAACTCTGTGAGTGCCAGGCCAGCTGAGGTTCATAGTGAAACCTATCTCAAAAAAAAAAAAAAAAAAAAAAAAAAAAAAAAAAAAAAAGTATCTTCCCACCGAATGAGGTAGCACATACCTGTACACTCAGCATTCAGAAGGCTGAGGCAGGAGGATTACTAGTTCAAAGCCAACCTGGACTATACAGTGAAACCCTGTCCTAAAAAAAGAGGGTGGGACTAATCTGCTGAGATTCCTGCTCCACCCAAAGACACCCCATCAGCTTCCATCTTAGCCACCCCTCTGAAATCTGAGTTCCGTCTCTCATTTCTTGATGATTAGCATGCTGAGGATGCAAAAGCATCTCTCTATCCGTCTTTGCGAAAGGATGCTGTCTACCCTCTGGCAGTGACATCTCTGCTAACGGCTGCATCATCTGAGACAGCCTCCCACTCCTTTATCTTCTGTCACAGAGAGCCTCTTGATCCTTCGCCCTCCATGGTGGGGCTCTTCCCCTGCAATAAACACTTCTGCATCAGTCCTTGGATTTCACAGCAGCTTCCCGTGTCCCTCATTCAGCCTCCATCTTCTGCACAGCTGCCAGAGGCGTCTTTCTCAAGTCCCTACCTGCTTAACAGTGAATCTGCTCTTGACAGGGAAAGCCCTGCCTTTTCAAGTCAACTCTACGACCCTTCTTTCCCGACCGTCACCTAAACCACCACAGAGCTCTCATTTATACATGGATGTGACTTTGTTCTGAGAACAGCCCCCTCTTCCTCTTTTTGCCACTCAGATGGCAGAGCCAGCTCAGTGCCCCCAGCAGGAAATCAAGCTTGATAAATGAATAAATTTATTAATACCCGCCTTGCCCTTTGATTGAAGGTGAACATTTTCCTAGTCACTATTCCAGAAGGACTCTGTCCACATCGCCGCCGTTGTTGCTAGCCATCAGCCCAGTGGCTCTGCTTCAAGCCCAGTTCAGCCAAGAATGTGTGCTATGTGAGCCAAGATGGGCTCCCAATGCTGCCATGGAGCCATCTTGCCCAGCCCTGCTTCCCACTTAGATTCTCCGCAACACAGAGCTAACTTGGGGTGGCCAGTTTGAGCAGTAGCATGCACACACAATTTCACACCCCTGAGAAATGGACCCCGAGCTTTGCATCCATCTACTAGCACAGCGGGCGGCCCCAAAATAACCACGCAACTGTTGAGCAAATAACAAACGGGTTTTTCTTAATACTAAATAAAATATTGGCATTTTCATCTTAATGTAGCTATATATTGTTTCAGGTTACAAATAGGTCTGTCCGGGAGAAAGTACTCACACCAAGAGACGAGCGAGGTGGTTTGCTTAAATCTGTTGTTACGCTTTACAAACTGTAGTTCTTCACACAAAATTCAGTCCACGGAATGATTCCCTGTGCCGCCCCAGCCTTAGTCACAGATTCAGCCACTGCTTTGCCTTAAAACCAGCACAGAGCATCTGATTTCTTCCGGCCTTTCCTTTGATTTGTCCTGCACATTGTTCGGAAGCAGTTAGGAAAAACATTCAGAGCACGAAAGTATGTAATGTTATATTCTACTTTTAGGATGATTTTTTTTTGGTAATTTTTTAAAAAAATTGGCATGTCTAAGTAATTTTTTTAATATTTATTTATTTATTTATTATGTATACAATGTTCTGTCTGTATGCCTGCAGGCCAGAAGAGGGCACCAGACCCCATTACGGATGGTTGTGAGCCACCATGTGGTTGCTGGGAATTGAACTCAGGACCTTTGGAAGAGCAGGCAATGCTCTTAACCACTGAGCCATCTCTCCAGCCCCCTAAGTAATTTTAAAACTAGTTAAAATACAGTTCAAGAGAGCTTCTCTTTATGTATTGCCATACTCTTAATAAATCTCTTCGTTTCTGAAACAGATATGGTAGCTCACAAAAAAAAAAAAAATGTGTCAGGACAATAAGCACCTCTTCCAGTGGCCAAAAAATAGATACCGCATAATCATCACCACTGAGCCCCGGGAGCGCCACTCATCCCGTTAAAAGCCTTCTTTAAATCTGGTCACATTTCAGAATTTTTTTTAATGGACAACTGAGTGATCTAAATAAACAAAAAAAAAAAGTTCCTATCCTTTTCCTGAGTCCCCTAATGTAGAGAGCTGGCTGTCTAAGGCCCACAGTGTACCTTTTCGGTATGTCCGTCCTAAGGCTCTGCAACATAGGACACAGAAAGATGAGACAACGGAGAAAGAGAACCAGAGGCAGGGTCAGCGTGAAAAGCCTCAACGCCTCTGCTTCCGGCTGTGAGGCCTGCTCAGCCTTTACTTTCTAGTGAACTTCTGCTGTTGGCGGATTATTGAAATGGTTCCTTCTTCTCACACCCTCTCATGTGTTTTCTCTCCTGTTGTGTACCTACCTGTCCTGTGCGGGAAATCCTGCAGGCCAACTGTCAGGTAAGTCCATCTCCGATGCCTAAGGCGATGATTAAGAGGATGCAGGGAGGAAAATGAAGTAAACAAGACTATTGGTGGCGGAGACAAATGGCAGGGCTAAGCAGGAAAGCGCATGCTAAATTACACAGGAACTTTGCGCAGCTGGATAAACGGGAGAAGCTGCAGACCCCACATGTGAAGCCGGTGTGAACATCCGTCATGAGAGCTTAGCCTGCAGGAACACGGCCGAGCTGTGTGATAAAATAGCTCGCCTGTCCCGTCTAGCGTTTCGCTGTGGCTAAGGACGCCTCCTGGAAGACTTAAGTTGTCATCAAGCTGTATGAAATCCTATGTGGTCCAGTGTGACTCTGCTATAAATATTATATCCACTTCTGGGATTTGGCCAGGATCAAAGCAAGTTTGCAGGGATGCGTTTTAAATCTCTCTTTTAAGTCCACATCTGAGCATCCCTATGCCTTGAAAAATTAAGGGACTAGGAGGATAGAACAGTGATGGTATGGATTCTGTTACCGCTGAATGCACTTTTGGAGTTAAATGTGATGTGGTTTCGTTCTTCTCAAGGAAATAGACACTGAGTTCACCATCCTCCTGCTGGGGGGAGGGGAAAGGACACCCTTGGACCCATAAGAAGTAGCAAGGCCAACAGATACTTTATAAGCCTAAAGCATAGCTAATGGCAAGAGAGACAGGCATTTAAATCTGATTGTGTTTGGGGTGTGTGTGTGTGGTTTTAGCCTTAGTTCATTTTTATCTTTCAAGAAGAAAAAAAAAAAAACCAATGCGTTTCGGTTGCCATGCAACACACCCTGGTCTAACAGTGTTCTAATTTTAATTTCAGAAGTCTACAGAGCAAATGAAGAAAGTCCCCACTATTATTCTTTCAGTCTCATATAAAGGAGTCAAATTTATTGATGCAACAAATAAGGTAGGTGCAACAAATAAAGTCTCTTTGGTTCAGACTCCCGACACGGCCCTGAGCATGTGATCTAAAACCCCGGCATTCCCCATTTTCATCTGGCCTCCCCCTCCTTGCCTTCATGCTTCCCGCTCACACTCAGAGCTGTGAATGTACACGTGTGGACCTACTTACACACACAGAAAAGCATGATTTATTTGGGGTCCTGAGCTAAGATTGCTGTATTTTGCTCTTACATGTCACATGTTCCCTCTGGTAGACTGGGGTCATTTAGCAGTCGTGACCCTTTGGATCTAGAGAACACTGAAACAACAACAACAACATCACTTACTAAAGGCAAGGTGCCATTTCTTTGCCATAAGAACATTAGTAGGTAAAGGGTGAGGGCATTGGTCTTTCTGTGGTTCTCAGTGTGTGTATGTGTGTATGTTCTTGCCTTTGGAAACTACACTTGATCTTAGCCAAAAGGCCAAGAAGTGATTGTCCCTCTTTTGGTACAGCTCCTGAACTCCTGGGTAAGGAGCACATCCTGACTTTTTGTATTCTATAACTACCTTTTATTCCTCACTAATGGGATGAAGAGAGTTGCTACTGTTTGTTTTCATAAGAGATGCAATCAGAAAAACAACCAAGGACATGCTGTGTCTTGGTACTCACAGTGGGAACTTTTGGCAGCTCTGAGGTCAAGTGTGGCCAACTGGATTGTGTTTTCCTTGAAAAGTATCTTCGCGTTCCTGTCAGTGCCAAGACCACAGAATCCTGGTGCTAGCCTCAAAAGCATAGATATGGCCACTGTCACTGTTGTAAAACCTGAATGATTTTTTTAACAAAACCCTAACGGTCCATGTGTTTTTCTCTCCTGTCCCTTCGACTGATAAAGGACAGAAGGGAGAGACGAGGTCATCACCATTGTAAACAGTGTCTGTCCCCTGCCTTGTTCACCCCGATCTTGCCCCTAGATACACTCCATTTTGGAGAAACAGAATGAGGAGTCATGAAGCAAGTCAACTTCAGCAGTGGTGATGGAGCCAGAGCCAACAGGATTGTGATGTCAGGGAAAATCCCATGGACAGTGACCTTTTGTGTCTCTAGACTTAAGCATCTGAAGCAATCCTTTAGAAATTTTCCAAGTTGGTTTTCTGTAAAATGTTTCATTGGCAGTTGAATGAGCCCAAGCATTCCTAACTATGCTAAATAACAACCTCCCCGTTTGGAAGAAAATTCTAGAACTCAGGCATAAAGCCTATACCACAGCATCACCATGATGGCTAATAGTAGTACCCCAAGTATATTAAGTACCTTATCTTTAATGACGACTCAGCTGTGTGGTATGATATTGGCTGTTATGATGTCAGATTTGCAATCAGAACATCCCTTGATTGGCTTTTTTATTTCCTGGAGAATTTCGGTTCTGGTACATCTGCCTTATCCTTAGATCGGAGTTAAGTTGTTTAAAGAGTTCTAATGTTTAAATGTTCATGAAGATACCGTTGCTTTTGTTTTAGCTAATGTGAAAGGAAGGGTTTGGTACTTGAACCCTCTGCCAACACACATACACGCGCACACGCACACCCTTCACCCTAACCTAGAGCAACTATCTCTACCCTATTGGATTTGAAGAAGTTGAAGAGCAATGAGTTTGACACTGTCTGAACTAGGTTGGATTCTGACAATTTCCAAACACAAGTCTTTTTCTCTTGAAGGTTGCTGCAGTCTGAAGGGCCAGGTCTGTCATTTAGTGGTGTCCTAACCACCTACATCAGTAGCATCCACTCTGCCCAGACCCCTACCATCAGAACAAGGAGGGAAGCTTAGCTGGGCCTTAGCTTAGCTGCAGTTCGCAGAGAGACACACACGCAAAGGGACATCATCACGCATGCTCTTGAGAGGCTTTGAGCTCAATCGCCAGTGACTGCGTAGACCCTGCTCGCCAACCTCTTGGAAAGCATCAGCAAGGTAGTTTTATGTAATTAAAGACCCTGAAGAAAGGAGATCAGGGTATCTTTCAAGTCCTTGCATTGTGGTCTGTGACGGATTTCCAGGTTCAGGAGCACAGGCACAGGGCGTCTGGTGGCTGGCGGCACCAAGCTGTCTATGACTGTCGACACACGCCTCGCTCTTTAAAGGACATTCACTTCAGTTGGCCACGTAACTGCTCTTGCCCAGCATGACAGTGTTGAGTCTGGGAGACTCTGGGAGGAGAGGCTCCCAGTTGCTGTGTGAGAGGGTGAAGTAGAGATTGCTAAGACTGGGGAAAGATGAGTAGTATAAGGTTGCATTGGGAGCTGAGAAGCATGGCCAGGGCTGAGGGCATGCAAGCTTCAGAAGGCATGCAAGAGCTGCAGGAAGGGAGAAGAGATGAATGTAACCACTGCATCCTAGAGTCCTTGGACGTCCCCCACTGAAAAGCGCTGTCTTGGCTGGAGCACTTGTCGAGTGGAAGTGTGTGTGAGGATCGCATCCTTTCAGAAGCTGGTGACCAGGAAGCCTGGGCTAGACACACCTCAGTGTGTTTCCATTGTGCGTGCATGTCCCTCTGCCTTACACTGGACAGGTCTGTCCAGTCCACACGGACACCTTAAGGTCCCTGTCCTTTGTCCAGTGTCTGCCCACTGGCACAACCTATTTATCACACCTTTCCCACTGCCTCACCTAATACATTTTCTATCACTCCTCAGCTACCTGCTGCCAATTAGTTTAAAGTACAGTGGGTAATTAATTAGATGTTAATTACCCTTCCTTTCCTATTAGGCCCGACTAGAGAAGGCAAAGATGAAGCCTCCAATGCAATGAGGCATTTCTTTTTCAGTCAATAAGGAATAGCTCAGGTTCGTGGGGAAGGGCCAGATGCCTGGTTATAAACACACAAAGGTACCGCCTAGCAACTTAGGGAGCTACACACTAGGCCTGCTTCAAGGAAGGAGAAGCAAAGGGGATCTTGAATTTGAACTGGAACCTGGGATAGATTTAGTCCTACGATGTTGGAGGGAAATTATATCTGCTTCCATAGCTCAGCAGCCCAGAATCAGCCCCTGCAAGAACCTGGCCCGCCAGCTGTTCGGTTACTGACTTTTCTTGAGATTAGCAGGGTCTTAGAGGTGACCCGTTTCCAATGTCCAGTCATGACAGAGACTTGGGCCATATTTACCCTCCTATGGCGTCTCTGCCTAGCTTTCCCAGTCCTCACCAGGTTCTACCAGGGATCTCTCACAAAGCTCTGCGAGTATATTCCTGCTGCGGATAGACCGTCTTTGTGGTATCGCTTTCCTCCTAGCTGAGACATTTTCAGTGGAGAGGAAGATGACTTTGTATAACACAAGCATCACAGGTGCCTCAAAGGAACATTAAAGCTGCCGCTGGGGGTGAGCTTCAGTGATAATGACTCCATTCTCTCTGCCACTCCTGGGCTCTTGGGAATAAGAAAGAAAAGACCTTCAAAAAAAAAAAAAATCCTGGGAAGGATTCAGAAGACAGGAGGGCAGAGCACTGGAGACCCAACTTAGCTACTTCGTAGTTTTGTCGGGGACCACAGCACGGTCGCAGTGAATGGTCACGAGCTGGGAAATGCAGTGCTGCAAACCTCGCGGGGCACTTGTTAATGTAACATCTCCCCGACGCTGACAAACGTCCCCAAATGCCAACTGAAAGCTGGAGCCGGTACTCGCTGGCTCATAGCTCCTGGGCAGGTGTACTTTACACATGGCTATGACAAAATACATGATTGGAAAGGACTGAAGGGATGGAGGGTTTGCCCTGGCTCACAGCTCAGGTATCATCACCCATGGTTGCAGAGATGCCACAGCGGGCAGGGGCTGAGCCCGCTGGTCACATAGCAGCCACAGTCGAGAAGCAGAGAGAAGCAACTGTTTCTTTCATTCAGCTGTCTCTCTGCTTCTCAGTCAGTCTAGAAGTGAGCCCATAAAATGGTGCTGCCCACAGTGGCCAGGCCTCCCCACCTCGATGACATAATCAAGACAGCGCCCCTTGAGCAGGTCCAGAAACCCCTCTCCCACGTGAAGGTAGCTTTTGTCCAGCTGACAGCAGTCCCCACCACGGCAGCTGAAGCCAATGCTGAGTCCAGACTTCTGAAGTCCAACAGCAGCAATCTGGTGAGAGCCAAGACTCTATGGTACCTTCAAAGACTACACAGACCTTAAAATTCCTTCTAAAGACCCATGGGTTCCTGATTCGGTACCTGAGTACAGGACGAGGACCATGGCTTCCTATGTCAAAGCTATCTGGCGGTACAATGTTGCTTGTTTGTTGTTTCCAATTTCAATTTGAGTTATTTTTTTGACAGAGCAGCTGCACACAGTGTCAGCATTCAAGGCCTCAGTGAAGAATGTCTTAATTTAATTTTCTCTTATGTGTTAATTCTGTAATTGCTTCCCAACCACAGAGCTTGGTAGAGTGAGGGACATGAAGTACTCGCGGAGGGCGCTGGCAGGGAAGGACATTTTGTCAGTGTTTTTAAGCATTGATGAGTAGATGTGGAACATTGTATTGCCAACGGGTTCTTTAAAATACGCAATTAAAAAGTAATTAGGGTGACTGAAGCATTGGGGTTTTTATATCTATGACAACTGCAAAAGACATGTGAGAAATTGTAAGATAAAAATGATTGTACTATTGTAGGGCTTTTTAAATACATCTGCATATCAGAAGAAGCTCCCAGCAGGTTTTGCAGCAAAGATGTTGCTCTCTGGCTATCTGTGCTTCAGGACAATGGTACTGACCCGTTCCTCCCACCAGTTATTCTCAGAGGCGAGGAGGGGGGGATGTAAAACGTGGCAGTGCCCTCAAGAGGGTCAGCACCCCCAAACAACCCAGACCTCACACCTGCCCTGCGTGAGGCCCTGAAGGCCCAGTTGCCTCAGCTGTAAGAAAGTGACAGTCACACACACGCGTACACACACATGCACGCATACACCACTATTCTGTGGTGGGCCTAGTGAGCACAGAGCTCTCCTATTCATAGGTCCTTGCATCCAGCAAGGCGCCGCGGCCTGACTATCACACTGTGGTGTTTCCCTGGGCCATGCACTCTCAGCCTCCTGAAAACCTTGCACAGAGACAGACAGGAAGACAGAGAGCACACTCTGAGGCTTCCCCACCTGCTTTGTTCTGACCGGGCCCTTGCTTTAGGAGTGGAGAAGTTGGCATAGAACCAAAGGTAGAGCACGTCTCCAACATGATCCAGGTCCTGGGTTCCATCCCAGCGCCTGAGAACGAAGGGGTGGGGAGAAACAGAGGACACACACAGCCTCCTGCACCCACAGCTCCCCTCACACCATGCAAGTGGCAGATGACCACTTCCAGACAGGATTGGCAGTAGGCAAGATTGCCTGTCTAGAGCAGGATGTAGGGAAGAGAAATGGCGACATGTTTAGCAATTACTGTTTTGTTTCATTTTCTAATTGTCTGTCCCCCAGACTGCTTCAGTGCACAGCATCTGGCAAGAGCTCATCCAGGATAGGATTATTATTATTACTATTATCATTACTATTACTACTACTATTATTATTATTATTAAATGCAAACATTCCTTCCAGACCTGGTGTACATCTGCCCATGGATGGACACACTGAATCACTCTGAATACTGCTGGCCTAGAACATCCTAGAGAAAAAGAAAAGCATCTGGGTTCCCAGAATTACCGTGCTGATTCTAAAGCATGCAGGTTCTCCAAGGAAAACGGTGATGGTTTGTGTCGTTTCTTCTAGAACATAATTGCTGAGCATGAAATTCGTAATATCTCCTGCGCCGCCCAGGACCCAGAAGACCTCTCAACGTTCGCTTACATCACGAAAGATCTGAAGTCCAACCACCACTACTGTCACGTGTTTACCGCCTTCGATGTGGTGAGTCCCCGCCCGCTATGGATGCATGTTCCATAGATGTAGATATCCATGTATGTGCCGCCGTGACTACATAGTTTAACCAACAGGAATTTATTGCCTGTGCTTCTGGAGGCTGTAGTACGGGACCAAGGTTACAGTAAGTGCGGTTTCTTCTAAGTTCTCCCCCCTCCAGTGTGTGAACAGTCGGTCTTCTCGTGAGGTCCTGTCTGTGTTCTTCCATCCAGAGATGCCTGCATACAAATTCTCTCCTCTTTTGAGGGCGCCAGTTAGACTAGATAAGAGCCCACACTAATGACCTATTTTAACTCAGCCATCTTCCTAAAAGCTCTGTCTCCCAATCCCATCACACCCTGGAGCCCCTAGAGATTAGATCTCCAAATGGGATTTTTTCAAGGCGATCACCCAGAAAGCCAAATATAAGAAGTATTAACAGGCTTAGCTTTCTTGAGTTTCCTGTATTTTCAGTCTCTCGTCCAAGTTAGAACTCTATATTTTTCTTATACCTCAACTGTTGAGACTCAACTCTCAACTTCAGTTTTCAGATTAGAGAAATCCCTTTCTTCTTCTAGTCCCAAAAATACAGCAAGATCTCCCCGCCTCCTGTCCCTTTGTTAGCTCTGCAGGTTGCTCTAGGTACCATTTCTAAGTATTAGGCATGATAAATATGTTCACCTCCATAATATTCAGGAGGGGCAGGGGAGAAAAATCGAACCGCAGCTGTTTAGTTTTCGGATCAGCATGTCTTGATGAATTCAGAGGACGTGCGGCAAACCGCTGTAGCATTTATCCTTCATCCAGATGTCTGGCTTAGCGTGGACACTCACGGGCTTGCAGTTCTTGAGTCTGCTCCAAAGGATTTTCGTTTTACCCAAATCTGGTGCTTTAATCCTCGCTAAGTGCACGCAGTTTGTCGAACTTCCAAAATCATGACAAAGGCCACCCGCCTTGACCTGGACCTGAGCAGTTCTTTATATAGGGCAATTCCCAGTCCAATCTTAAGGCCTTACAATCCATTTGAGCCATCCTCTGGGTTACCAGTGATGACAAAATAAAGTAACAGATCCCTTCTGAAGTTCAAGTGCATGTCCAGCCCCCCAGGTGGGATGGATGGGTGGGGCTTTGTGGTGGCCTTGTTGTTCTAAGTATCCGGTTATCGGCTTCTCATAGACCGTTCGCAGGCAGGGTACTTTTTCATACTGACATCACATCCCACGGGTTTATCTGCTGTCAGAATAAGCCTCGGTGATGGTGATGGACAGGAAACTTCCGGTTTGTGAAATGTCCCGGAACAGTTTCCCCTAGAAGTCCTGTGGCCTAAGAAGATCGCAAGGCCTTCCTAAGAAAGCTAGACTGAATTTCCGAGCTCGTGTCCTAGGGGACACTTGGTGCACTGGGTGCAGGATGGAGGACAACAGTGTGCTGTCTCCCAAGCCCACCTGGTCCTTCCACAGCAGGGGGACTTCTGGGTTGGGGGAAGGTACGTGGGGCGATACATATAACCTGTTGCCTGTTTCCAGTATTTACGTCGACACTAAATTCACCATTTCTCAGACGGCAGGGGGTGAAAAGTAAAAAGAATAGACAAGAACAAAATGAGCCTTGGTTGGTGCTCTGATAAAACAACCTCAGGAGTGAAGGGTTCACCTTGGCTCACGGCAGCATACCATAAAGCTGTATCAACCATGGATATGCAGAGATTATTATCTTTTCCCCTCATCCTTTCTGTAACACATCGGAGACCAGCTTCAACAAGGATACCACTTACCAGGGTAGGGGCACGGGGATTAGAAAAAGAGTAAAGAGAACGAAGATGCGAGTGAAAATAATAAAACAGAAACATAGGATAGCACCAGTGAATACTGAAATCCACCCGTGTTTAATGTCCACTTTCTTAAAATACCCCGACCCCAAAAGGTAGGAATAAACTGCATTACCGTGATACAAGGAAATGAACAGACCAGTTAAAGGGTGCAGGCTACACTCTTAGTTAAATATTCTGTTGCCAGAACCAGACAAATCACACTCAAACCCTAGACCAAAACATTCTGTAGGCAAACCACTTCTGAGGTAGAATCCATTGTTATCTCCTTAAGGGAGCAGGGACTTAGTTGGATCCTTTGCCTATTGTTTGGGGTAGAAATAGATCCACTTTTCTTCCTGAAATACAAAGTCTGGGCATTAGTCACGTCTGTTGACAATAACCTTGAGCAAGCAGAACTCTCTGATCTAAATCTAGGTGGGACCTTTGAGGTAGAAACACAATAACCTTGGAGGAATAGAAGTTCCAGCTCTCTGGCCTTTGGTCGGGGAGGAATGGCAACAACTCTGAGCAAGCTGAATCTCTGGCCTTCAGACAAGGTGGAAATAGGCTCACATTTTTGGGCCTCCGTAGTAATGGTTGACGTATTAAATCAGTCTCATTTTGGACAGTTAGAAAGCAGGCATTTTGAGTTTTGTCACAGATTTCTTCACTACATTTATATATGTGCAACCATCCATCTGTATCCAAGGAAGGTTAGTTCTAAATCTAAAGAATTCACAGAGCCACCGACACTCAAGTCTCTTCTATAAAATGGCATAGTATCTGCCTATGTCACTTACATACACAATATTATGCATACTTTATATGATCTTTCACTATCAGTGCTATGTACATGCTTCCCATAGTGGACTGCTTGGAAAACAGACATAGAAAAGAGTCCACACATATTCCATCAAGATGCAGGTTTCCCTACACATGCAGAATCATTAAAATAGACAATGGATTGTATTTAGACAGCCCTCCAAAATAACTATGGTAACAGTCACATTTAGGGGCGTGATCTCTGCAGTCAGCCTAGTATTAAGTCCAAGGTGGGTTCATTCTGCCATAGTTTGATCAATAATACCACTTGTCCTTGGTTTCCTCTTCTGTAACACAGAGATAATAGCGGTGCTCACCTCCTGGGGAAGCACCTGCCGCACACAGAGATGACGACAGAGCTCACACCTCCTAGGGAAGCACCATGCTTTCAATGAGGAACCACATACCGTCTTTACAACTCTCGTTTTCCATGAAGCATGGCTGCTAAGGATGTGGAGAATAGGAGGGACAATTGTGGTATGATATTCTTGTCATCTGTCCCTGAGCTGGGATTTATGTCTCGGGTTTTGGTTTTCCACATAAGCTTAGTGCTTCTATAGCCCCCATCTGAGAGGGAAAGTAAAACTGCACACAGATGCACACCTGTGCTCATCATGTGCCTATTGTCAGCCATCCACAAGTCTCTCTAAGAGCTCAGGATCTAGGCGGGTTAGAGACAGGTAATTGCACTAAAATTGCCCCCATGCCATTCTGAAGTTGCCCCAGTGCCCAGCGGGACGGGGTCTCTCAGAGGAGGGATACTTGGCTGGAAGCTGTCCATTTCCTTTGTGAGGACATGTGGTAGGCTTGGAGACATGACAACTCATTAATTCAACTCAGTAGGATGAGCCTGAGGCATTAGGCAGGCATCTGCAGTAAACAAAGAAAAAAAGAGCCTTTCCACTCCACAAGCTCTGTATCCACGGGTCTAACCAGACACAAATCAAAGGTGCTCTGAAAAGCACTATGTACTCAGTAACATGTACCAACTGATTTTTCTTCTCATTATCCCCTAACCAATATCACATGGGGATGTATTCGGAGAGGATGAACACTTGCTCAGTATTTCAAGTCATCTAGAGACAGCATAGAGCATAGGAGGTGTTCACAGGTGAGGTGCAAATCCTACCCTATCAGATATAAGACACTTACGCATCCTCAGTTTGGTCCGAACACAGAGGAATGGCTGTATAGAGTTTACTAACTCAAGAAAATGGGCACATCTATTTGAGAAATATTTTTAACAGCAAGACTCTTTTAGAGGTCTTGAATTTGGTGAGGGCCCCATTCCCAAGGCTTTGTGAGCCAGTAAGGAATTTACTATCGCGTCCATTAGGTGCTTCAGCTGTTGAAGAGGAAGACGAAGAGATCTGAAAACGCTCTCTCCCGTTTCCTTGCCAAGTAACGTGAGGGCCTCCTTCCATTCTAGTGGTCCTGACCCTGTATGGTGATGTGAGAGCTCAAACTGGCCAGAAACCTTAGAAGGCAAATGAACCCCTGAGCACAGTTGACCCCACGCCGCTGTGTGAGGCCTCTGTGGAAAGCCTGGAGTGTTACCAGGAAGGGAGTCCTGACTCGGCGAGCATGCCGTGTCTACCTAGGTTTGGGGTGAAGCATGACATTAAACCTTAATAGATACCGTGGGATGCTCTGCCACATTCCAGGGTATTGTCTTTGAAAAATGTATAATGGCATGCAAAATCTGTTCATGATACAGCATTACATGAAAAGCAACTTATAAAAATGCACATAAAATATTACCCTGATTTGGTATTTAAATTCACATATATAAATATTCATGGAGTTTATGAAGTACGTGAGGGTATATACAAATATAAAAGGAAAACAACAGAATATAGCAGTAGCTGTACCCAACGGTGGGATTTTACAGGTGAACCTAATTTCTTCCATAGTCTCTGTATCTCCGACCTCGTCTACGTATACTCCTACTATAATTAGGGTGGGGAAATAATTTCCTCTCTCATTCAGTTAGCATAAATTAGCTCCGGAGAAGGCCTCTGGATGGTGGCCAGTTAATATGGCAGTCCTGGTCCAGATATGCCTCTTGTCGGAGGTGTTCTGCTTCTTTCTAAATACCAGAGATCATGAGTAGGCAATGACATGTATTTTTATAAACTACTGGGGTCGTTCCTAGGTGGTACTTGGGAAGATTAACTATAGGTAAAGATGTCAATGGGATCTGTGAATATGCCCAGAATATTCTCAGTTATTTTTGCCTCTGGACGTGGGTGAAGCAAGTTGCAGATGAAACTTATCCCAGCTCTTAAAACGCAAGGACTCAAGCAAAATGGAGGGAGACAAAGAGAACTACAGCTTCTGTCGGAAGCCATCCTGACAAGACTGAAGACGCCTTCCT